TTTTACACCGATTTCCATGTGACATTCCCCACTTCTCACCACACCCTTGGGGTTTTAATTCTGTGATTCTGGAGATATTATTAATATAGAATGTATGCATAATATACATTATACTTCATATATTATATATATAAAATATATTATTGACATAAAAATATATAATTATTAATACATAATACCTACATTATTATCTATATTATATTTATTTATTTTAGGTTATATTTTTTATTTTATATTTATATTTTCTATTTTAATTTTATTTTTAAATTCCATCTATTCTTGATATATAAAAATTATATATTATTTGTAATATCTACACTCTATCCACTATATGTCATATATTATACATTGAATTTTATTTATTTTATATTTTATATTTTACAAGTTATTGATATATAAACAGATATCATTAATATATATCCAAATTATACATATTTTTGTATTCTATAATTTATGTTTTATATATTATTCATATACAAATTATTTAATGTATATTATTAATTATATTATATATATTCTCTATATATTATGCTATTATTCTATATGTATTACCCATATATCTAAAATATATAATGTAAATATATATAAAATATATAAATTATGTATAAAATATATAATACATCATATATTCAAATTTTTATATATAACATTCGACATTATAGAATATATTTTATAAATATAATTATAAATATGTATTTTATATTATTTATTATACATATTATATAACGATATATTTTATAATTATATAATTCTATATAATATATATTATATTCTAGAATATAATCTCTAGAATATGAATATATTTTATAGTGTATATATAGATTTTATATCCATATATTATTCTATAATTTATAAAAAATTTATATAAAATTTAGATAAAATTTAGATAAAATTTTGAAGCTTTTTTTTCACCATTTTAGGTTAAAAAGCAGCGATTTTGGGGGGGGATCAGATTCTGTGCAGCCCAGAAAATCCCAAATATTCAGATTTTGGCGTTTGTAACCCCTGGGGTGTGACCCCAACAGAAAATCCCAAATTTTCAGATTTTTAGGGTTTGTACCCCACAGGTGTCATCGTGTCTGTCCAGCCCAGAAAATCCCAAATTTTCAGGTTTTAGGGTCACATTTTTAGGGTTTCTGACCCCAGGGGATGTCACTGCATAGAAAACCCCACACGTTCATTTTTTGGGGCCACTTTTGGGGTTTCTGACCCCAGGGGATGTCCCCCCATAGAAAACCCCACACGTTCATTTTTTGGGGCCACTTTTGGGGTTTCTGACCCCAGGGGATATCCCCCCATAGAAAACCCCACACGTTCATTTTTTGGGGTCACTTTTGGGGTTTGTGCCCCCCAGGTGGCCTCGTGCTGATCTCGGGCACCGGCTCCAGCTGCAAACTCATCAACCCCGACGGCTCCGAGAGCGCCTGCGGGGGCTGGGGACACCTGATGGGGGACGAGGGCTCCGGTCAGAGCCGGGGGGCTTTGGGGTCGGGGACTGGGGGGGCTTTGGGGTGGGGTTTGGGGTCCTGGAAGGGTTTTGGGATGGGGTTTGGGGTCCTAGAGGAGGTTTGGGATGGGTTTTGGGGTCCTGGAGGGGGTTTGGGGTAGGGTTTGGGGTCCTATAGGGGGTTTGGGATGGGGTTTGGGGTCCTATAGGGAGTTTGGGATGGGGTTTGGGGTCCTGGAGGGGGTTTGGGATGGGGTTTGGGGTTCTTGAGGGGTTTGGGGATGGGTATTGGGGTCATGGAAGGGTTTGGGATGGGTATCATGGCCTTTGGGGAGGTTTGGGATGGGGTTTGGGGTCCTGGAGGGGTTTTGGGATGGGTATTGGGGTCCTAGAGGGGGTTTGGGGTCCTGGAGGGGTTCTGGGATGGGTATTGCGGTCCTAGAGGAGGTTTGGGATGGGTTTTGGGGTCATGGAAGGGTTTGGGATGGGGTTTGGGGTCCTAAAGGGGTTTTGGAGTCTTGGAAGGGTTTTGGGGTTCTGGAAGGGCTTTAAAATAAATATTAAAATATTGAGGGATTTTACGATGGATATTGGGGTCCTAGAGGGGTTTTGGGATGGGGTTTGGGGTCCTTCAGGGTTTTGGGATGGGTATTGGGGTCCTGGAAGGGTTTTGGGATGGAGTTTGGGGTCCTGGAAGGGTTTGGGGCTGGGGTTTGGGGTCATGGAAGGGTTTTGGGATGGGTATCATGGTCCTTGGGGAGGTTTGGGATGGCGTTTGGGGTCCTTGGGGGGCTTTGGGATGGGTGTCAGGGTGCCCCAGGGTGTTTGGGGTCCTAGGGATGGGGTGACCCCATACTGACCCCATACAGCGTACTGGATCACTCAGCTGGGCACTCAGGGCCGTGTTTGGGGTCTCAGGAGGTCTGACCCTATAACTGACCCTATAACTGACCCCATACTGACCCTATAACTGACCCCACACAGCGTACTGGATCGCCCACCAGGCCCTCAAGGCTGTCTTTGACTCCCTGGACAATCTGCAGGCGCCGCCCCACGACATCGGCTACGCCCGCCAGGCCATGCTCGACTACTTCCAGGTGGGCTTGGGGATTGGGTTTGGGGTTTGGGGATTGGGGGTTTGGGGTTTTGAGATGGGTATTGGGGTGCTTGGGTGGTTTGGGATGGGTATTGGGGTCCTAGGGGGATTTGGGATGGGTGTTGGAGTGCTTGAGGGGTTTTGGGATGAATGTTGGGGTCCTGGAGGGGGTTTGGAATGGATATTGGGGTCCTAGAGGTGTTTGAGATGGGTATTGGGGTGGATGTTTGGGGTGTTTGGGGTGTCTGGGGTGGGTGTTTGGGGTGGGTGTTTGGGGTGTTGGGGTGGATGTTTGGGGTGTTTGGGGTGGGTGCTTGGGGTGTTTGAGGTGGGTGTTTGGGGTGGATGTTTGGGGTGTTTGGGGTGTCTGGGGTGGGTGTTTGGGGTCCCTGTGGGATTTTGGTGCCCACACCTCACACAGGCCCCCCTGCCCGGCCCCACAGATCTCGGACAGGATGGGGCTCCTGGCCCACCTGTACGGCTCCTTCGAGAAGGCCAAGTTTGCGGGGTTCTGTCAGAAACTGGCCCAGGGTAGGGAAACCTTCCCGGGAATGTCCCCACTGTCCCTGTCCCCACTGTCCCTGTCACCTGTTTATCCCTGTCCCCATTGATCCCATCCCCCCTTGTCCCTGTCGCCCTTTTGTCCCTGCCGGTGCCACTCCCTGCTCTCTGTACCTTGGCCCCCGAGCACTCTGTGCCCTCCTCGGGGTGGGGACACCCAGGTGCCACCAACTCGGCTCATGGGGGGGGGGGGGGGGGTGTCCCATGTCCCCGAGTGTCACATGTCCCTGAGTGCCCCATGTCCCTGTGTGCCCCGTGTCCCTGTGTGTCCCTGTGTGTCCTGAGTGTCCCCGAGTGTCCCCTGTCCCCGTGCCACCCCAGGTGCCCAGCTCGGTGACCCCCTGTGCTGCCACATCTTCACCAAGGCCGGCGAGGTTCTGGCGCGCCACGTGGTGGCCGTGCTGCCCAAAATCCACCAGGTGAGCCCTCACCTGAGGCGACGGCGGTGCCACCGCGGGGTGGGGGGTGGGGGGGAGGTGCCAGCGGTGTCACCGTGCTGTCCTGATTGTCCCCACCCGTGCAGAGCCTGTTCGTGGGCGAGCTGGGGCTGCCCATCCTGTGCGTGGGCTCGGTGTGGAAGAGCTGGGATCACCTGCGGGCAGGTGAGCTCCGCCGGGGGATTTGGGGAATTTGGGGGGGGATTTGGGGATTATTTTGGGGTCCCGTGTGACCCCCCTGGCGTGTCGCCGATGTCGCAGGGTTCGTCCAGGTGCTGGAGCAGGCCCGGGCCCAGGTTCCGGGCCGGCTTTTCTCCAGGTTCAGCCTCCTGAAGCTGAAGCGCTCCTCAGCGCTGGGGGGAGCGCGCCTGGGAGCCAGGAACGTGGGAATGGCGCTGCCGCTGGATCACACCGGGAATGTCGAGGTGTTCTACACGCACGTGTTCTGAGCCAAAACAAAACTGAGGGAGGGGAGCCCCCAAAAAACGGCGGGAGAACCCCAAAAAAAACTGTGGGGAGCGCCCGCGAGAGGGGGTTTGTGGTTCGGCAATAAAACGGTTACACTGGCCCGAGGGGATGGGAATGGGAATGGGGGTGGGAATGTGGGGATGGGAGTGTGGGAATGGGGCTGGATAGGACCAGGAATGAAGGGATGGGGCAGGATGGGAATGGGAATGTGGGAATGGGACAGGATGGGAATGGGGCAGGATGGGGATGGGGCAGGATGGAGATGGGGCAGGATGGGGATGGGAAGGTGGGGTTGGGATAGGATAGGGATGGGAATGGGAATGTGCAGGTGGGGCAGGATGGGAATGGGGCAGGATGGGACAGGATTGGGATGGGAGTGTGTGGGGACAGAGCAGGATGGGAATGGGATAATGGGAATGGGGCAGGACAGGGGTGGGGCTGGATGGGACCAGGAGTGTGGGGTTGGGATGGGAGAGTGGGGTGGAAATGGGGCAGGATGGGAATGGGATTGGGGTGGGATTGGGATTGGGATTGGGAGTGGGAATAGAGATGGGAATAGGAATGGGAATGGGATTAGGAATGGGATTGGTATTTGGATTAGGATCAGAATCACTATTAGGATTATGAATATGATTGGGATTTGGATTGGGATTAGGGGTGGGATTGGGAATGGGGTGCTGGGCCTGCCAGCACAGGCAGGGAGGGCTCTGCATCCAAGGAAAAGCAGGAGGAAGGAGGAAGGAAGAAATCCCAAAGATTGGGATCAGGGATGTGACATCCATGACCTGGGAAGGCACATGGAGCTTTTGGGGCGATTTCCACTTTAAAAAGGAAAAAAAGGAAAAAAAAAAAAAGGGGAAAATCCCTTTTGGGTTGTTTTTCCTGGGAATCCAAAGGCCCAGAAAGGAAAAATCCAGAAGGGGAAATTCCTAAGGCTCCAACTGGGAGTGACTGGGATCACTGGGAGGGCTCACGGAGACCCCAAAGTTTTCCAAGGAAAACCCCGGCCCCTCTCCCTTTCAAAAAAAACCATTTTATTTGGGATAAATGTACAATTTATGTCCCAAATGTACAGCATGAGGAGGGAGGAAAAAGGAGGGAACTGGAGGAGAAATCCAAGGAAAACCGGGAAAAGGAGAAGGGGAGGGTGTGGGATCTCCCCAGGGGATGGATCCCACCCTGGCCAGCCCCAAAGGGGATTTTTGGGGTGATGTTTCCATAGGGAAATGGTTCCAGAGGGGCTGGGAAGTGCTGGGAGTCAGGAATTCCATCAGCTCAGCCCTGTTCGTGGTCCAGCCCCCCCTGATGCTGCTGGTCCAGGAATTCAGGGAATGGGAATGTGCTCATGCAGCAGGAATGGGGCTGAGCACTGCTGCTGCTTTCCCAGGATTCCCATTTTTCCCTGGAGAAAAGTTCAGAGCCTGGAAAGTTCCTGGTTCATCTGGTTTGGGGTTTCCAATCCCAAAAAGCTCCTGGTTTCCCTGGATAGAGATTCCCAATCCCAAAAAGTTCCTGATTTCCCTGGACAGGGATTCCCAATCCCAAAAAGTTCCTGCATTCCCTGTATGGGATTTCTGATCTTGGGAAGCTCCCACTTTTCCTGGAGAGGGATTTCCAATCCCAAAAAATTCCTGGTTTCCCTGGACAGGGATTTCTGACCTTAGAAAGCTCCTGATTTCCCTGGATAGCAATTCCCAATCCCAAAAAGTTTCTGATTTCCCTGGACAGGGATTCCCAATCCCAAGGAGCTCCTGATTTTCTCTGTAGGGATTCCCAATCCCAAAAAAGTTCCTGAATGGGATTTCTGACCTTAAAAAGCTCCTGCTCTTCTTGGACAAAGATTCCCAATCCCAAAGAGCTCCCATTTTCCCTGGACAGGAATTCCCAATCCCAAAAATTTCCTGATTTCCCTGGTTAGGGATTCCCAATCCCAAAAAATTTCCTGATTGCCCTGGACAGGAATTCCCAATCCCCAAAAAATTCCTGATTTCCCTGGACAGGGATTTCAGACCTGGAAATTTCCTCCCTTTCCCTGCATTTCTGAGCCTTTCAGAACCTTGGGAGTGCCTGGGATTTTGGGAACTGCAGCTTTCATGGATGGGGAAGGAAATTTCATTTTCCCAAAATTCAATTCTGATCCTTGGAAAAGGGATCAGCACCAGGATATTCCCAAAATTTCCCTCGGGGGGGGTTTCATCCCAGCAGAGGATCCCTCTCTTTTTCCCAGGAATGCTGCTCCAATTCCCTTCTTCCCTCTGGTTTTCCTTGGATTTTTTTCTTTTTTTTTTTTTTTTAAATCCACGAGGAATTAGGGCTGTAGTGTCAGATGAGGAATTCCTTATGGGGAAGAGGAATTTGGGGAATCCAGATTTCCCTAAAAACCTCTGGGATTGGCAGGATCCCCCTGCTCAGCTTCCATGTGGAGGAATTTTGGGATCACACCTTGGAACCCCTTCAGTTCCAGCAGAGGAAAAAAAAAAAATCCCATTGCAGAAAAATCAGGGAAAAGCCATCCCTAAAAATCCTCCACAAGCACCAAAAACCTGATTTTTTTTTTTTTTCCCCCATGATTTTTCCATGATTTTTTTTCCCCCCATCCTCCCCCTCCAGATTTTTTTCCCTGCTGGTGGAATCACCACAAATCCTCAGGAAGCCAAAAAACTGCCAAGGAAAAAAAAGGAAAAAAAAAAAAAAAGTGAGGAAAAAGCCAATAAAAATAGGGAAAAAAAAACCTAAGGAAAAATACTTGGAGCTGGAGCAGATCCTGGTGCCTGGAGCCTCTCCAGGCTCTTCCTGTGTCCCAATTTTTCCCTGGAGCAGGGAATCAGTCTCTGGCCATTCCCAGGCTCAGTATTTCACTCCAGGCACAAATTCCTTGGCATCTGGATTCAAGTTGCTTTTGCTCTGGGGGAAAAAAAAAATAAAAATAAAAAAGGGATTTGTCAGTGAGGGGGAAATTCCAGGATTTTCTACTTTGGAATAACTGGAGTGTGAAACTTGGGAATTGCAGGGATGGGAAAACTCAAAGGATGGGAGAATTCCAGGGATTTGACAAGTCCAAAATCAGGACAATTCCAGGGATTGGACAATTCTATGTATGGAATCATTCCAAGGATGGGAAAATTTTCCAGGGACTGGAAAATATCAAGGATTTGATCATTCCAGGGAATAGGAGAATTCCAGGGATGGGAAAATTTCAAAGAAGAATTCCAAGGATGGGACAATTCCAAGGAAGGGACAATTCCAGGGATGGATAATTCCAAGAATTGGACAAATCCAAGGATGGGACAATTCCAAGGAATAATTCCTGGAAAAGGAGAATCCCAGGGATATAAGAATTCCAAGGATTAGACAATTCCAGGGATTGGACAATTCCAAGGAAGGGACAATTCAAGGGGAAAGGACAATTCCAAGAATTGGACAAATCCAAGTATGGGACAATCCCAGGGAAGGGACAATTCCAAGGAATAATCCCTGGGAAAGGAGAATCCCAGGGATATAAGAATTCCAAAGATTAGACGATTCTAAGAATTGGACAATTCCAGGGATGGGACAATTCCAAGGAAGGGACAATTCCAAGGAAGGGACAACTCCAAGGATTGGAAAATACCAAGGATTTGACAATTACAGGGATGGGACAATTCCAAGAATTGAACAATTCCAGGGATGGGAAAATTCCAAAAATTGGACAATTCCAAGGATGGGACAAATCCAGGGGAAGGGACAATTCCAGGGTTTTGACAATTCCAAGGAAGGGACAATCCCAGGGACAGGACAATTCCAATGAAGGGAAAATCCCAAGGATTTGACAATCCCAAGCTTGGGACAATTCCAGTCACAGGAGAATCCCAAGGAGGGGACAATCCCAGGGAAGGGAAGGGAAGGGAAGGGAAGGGAAGGGAAGGGAAGGNGGAAGGGAAGGGAAGGGAAGGGAAGGGAAGGGAAGGGAAGGGACAATCCCAATGGAGGGAAGGGACAATCCCAGGGGATATTCCCGGCCGGTGTCCCCGGGCTCTCACCAGGATGTCGTCGGCCCCGGGCCCCTCCCCCGCGGGCGTTCCCTGGGGCAGATCCCGCGCCGGGATGAACCAATCCCGCTCCTCCTCCTCCAGCATCTCCTGGAAGCAGCGATCCAGGAATTCCTGCTCCTGCAGCTCCTCCTCCACCTGCCCAGCGTGGGAAACACATCCAGGATTTGTGGGAAGGGCCTGCACATCCCAAATCCATGGAATTGCTGAGGGTGGGAAATCCCCAAGTGCCAAATCCACCCGGGATTCCACGGAGGGATCTGGATTCTGGGAATGGTCACTTGGAAAAAGGAAAATTCCAGGGAATCCCCAAAAAAATCCCCCCCAAAAAATATCCCCAAAGGGGCTCCAGGAGAGCTGGGATTTGGGGACAGGACACAGGGAATGGTTTTCCATTGGAAAATTTGGGTTTGGGGATGGATTTCTTGCAGAAAAAATCGGGATGTAAAATTCAAATATGCCAGGAATGTTGGATTCCCAGGAGGGGAATGATCCCAGGATTCTGCACATCCAGGTGAATATTCCTGGTTTTTTTCAGCCTGTGCTGGATCCAAAATCCCCAAATCCTTCTAATTCCCTAAATCCAAAAAAAAAATTCAAATTCCAAAAAAAAATTCAAATTCCAAAAACCTCCAAATCCCCCCAAAAAACACCAAAAAAACTTCAAATCCTCCCCCCAAAAAATCCCAAATCCCTAAAAAATCCCAAATCCCCCAAAAAACCCAAATCCCCAAAAAAACCTCCAAATTCAAAGAAACTCCAAATTCAGAAAAAAGTCCCAATCCCAAAAAAAACCCAAATCCCCAAAAGATTCCCAATTCCCCCCAAAAAATCCAAATCCTAAAAAACTCCAAATCCCCAAAAAAAATCTACAAATTCCAAAAAACTCCAATTTCCAAAAAATAATAAATAAAAATAAATAATAAATAAAAATAATAATTTAATTGAATAAGTAATAATTAAACACAGAAATAAAAATAAGTAAATAAAACGAAATTAGTGCTAAATAAACACAAAGCAACGATAATACGACAAAAATAAATCAAATTCACATAAATAAAATTAAAATAAATAATATAATGAAAGAAATAAAAATAAGGTAACGGTACTAAATTAAGTGAATAAAATTAAATAATGAAATGAAATTAAGTAAGAATAAAAATAAAGCAATGATAATAAATAACTGAATAAAATAAATAATACATAAATAAAAATAAGGTAATGATACTTAACTAAATAAAATTAAATAATGAAATGAAATAAGAATAAAAATAAGTAATGATAATAAATTAATTAAATAAAATCAAATAATAAAATTAAATGAAATAAGAATAAAAATAAAGCAATGATAATAAATTAAATAACGGAATAAAATTAAATAATAAAATGAAAGAAAATAAAAATAAGGTAATGATACTGAATTAACTAAGTAAATAATGACATGAAATGAAATAAGAATAAAAATAAGTAATGATAATAAATTAATTAAATAAAATTCAATAATAAAATGAAAGAAAGAAATAAAAATGCCGTGACGGTACTGAATTAACTAAATAAATAATGAAATTAAGTTAAGCAAGAATAAAAATAAAGCAATGATAATAAATTAAATAAGTAAATAAAATTAAGTAATAAAATGAAAGAAAAAATAAAAATACGGTAATGATGATAATTAACTAAATAAAATTAAATAATGAAATGAAATTAAGTAAGAATAAAAATAAGCAATGATTATAAATGAAATAAACAAAATTAAATAATGACATGAAATTCAAGAAGAATAAAAATAAGCCGTGATAATAAAGTAAATGAGTGAATAAAATGAGAATTAATGGCCGGACCTGCCTGTTGAACTCCTCCTCGTGCTCCATCCAGGCGTACTCGGCGAAGGGGCTCCTGGCACTGCCACTGTCACCGTCACTGTCACCGTCATTGTCACCGCCCCCGGCACCGGCACCGCCCTCCTGCGGGGCGGGCACCGCGCCCAGCTCCGAGCCGTTCATCCCGGGGGTCTGCAACGGGAAAGTCGGGAATGGGGGAGTGAGGGAAATTGGGGAAATTGGGGAAATTGGGGAAATTGGGGAGTGAGGGAAATTGGGGAAATTGGGAAACTTCGGGAAATTGGGGAATGAGGGAAATTCAGAAAATTGGGGAATCAGGGAAATTGGGGAATGAAGGAAATTGGGGAAATTGGGAATGAGGGAAATTCGGGAAATTGGGGAATCAGGGAAATTGGGGGATGAAGGAAATTGGGGAATGAGAGAAATTCAGAAAATCGGGGAATGAGGGAAATTCGGGAAATTGCGGAATGAGAGAAATTGGGGAATGAGAGAAATTCAGGAAATTGGGGAATGAGAGAAACTGGGGAAGAAGAGAAATTGGGGAAATTGGGGAATGAGGGATGAGGGAATTCGGAGCTTCTGGACAACCCAATCCCAGCCCATCGTCCTTAGGAATGAAGGAAATTCAGGAATTCGGGAATTTGGGAAATTCAGGAATTCGGGAATTTGGGAAATTCGGGAACGAGGGGATGAGGGAATGAGGGAAATTTGGGAATTCGGAGCTGCTGGACATCCCCAAACCCAGCTCAGATCCGGGTCTTACACAATGGGAAGGGGTGGGTTTGATCCCGGTGGGATTTTCCAGCTTTAATGAGTTTAAAATCCATCGTGGGTATTGGGAATCCATCAGAAACTACTCCATAAATCCATGGATCTATTAATCCATGAATCCATCCATAATCCATAAATTCATCAATCCACAAATCCATGGATCCATCAATCAATCCATCCATCCCTCCATCCATCCATGACTGGCTCATCCTGGAAAAGGATAATTCCCACTCCAAAAAAATGCCAGAGTTTGTGAAGTTTTTGGAAGTTTGGAAAGTTTGGGAACGGGGAATGAAGTCAGGGATGATGAGAGAGCTGGGAATGTTCCCCTGGAGAAGGGAAAATTCCAGGGAATGCTCAGAGTCCCTGCAGGGGCTCCAGGAGAGCTGGAATTGGGGACAAGGCCTGGAGGGACAGGACCCAGGGAATGGCTCCCACTGGGAAAGGGGAGATTGGGCTGGGATCTTGGGAAGGAATTCCTGCCTGGGCTGCAATTCCCAGATTTGCTGGGGCTGCCCCTGGATCCCTGGCAGTGCCCAAGGCCAGGTTGGATCCACCTGGGACAGTGGGAGGTGCTGGAATGGGATGGGATTTAAGGTTCCTTCCCACCCAAATTCCAGGATTCCGTGGAGGAATCCAGGCAGGAGAGCCCTGGATCCTTTCCCAAGGAACAGATTCTCCCATTCCCATTCCCAGCTCCACAGATCCAGCTGGTTCCCTCTGCCTTCCCAGATCTCCTGGCTCCCACTCCAGGAAATCCCAATTCCCTGGGCTCTAATCCCCTTTCCCAGATAAAATCCCTGCAGCCAGAATCCCAAATCCCATTCCTTATCCCATTTTCTCTCCGGGCCGTGTGGAATTTTCCCATTCCCAACTCTCCCAGATGTGGAATTTTCCCATTCCCAACTCTCCCAGATGTGGATTTTTCCCATTCCCAGCTCTCCCAGCTGCTCAGGAACCACGGCCAGTTCCCATTCTGGATCCAGGATCATCTCATCTCATCCTGCTCTGCTAAAACCTCCAGCTCCTGAGCCCAGTCCACGCAATGCTCAGGAATCTCATCCCAAATTCCTTCAGGAGCTGCTTCCAGGCTCTGAAGGGATATGTCCAGCTCCTCTCTGGGGAATCTGAGCCTCACCTCCCTCCCAGGCAGGAATTCCTTCCCAATATTCCACAAAAATCTCCCCTTTCCCAGTGGGAGCCATTCCCTGGGGCCTGTCCCTCCAGGCCTTGTCCCCAATTCCAGCTCTCCTGGAGCCCCTGCAGGGACTCTGAGCATTCCCTGGAATTTTCCCTTCTCCAGGGGAACATTCCCAGCTCTCCCAGTCTGGCTCCAGAGCATCTCCATGGCACGGGAAGGGTTAACCAGCAGAATTCCTTCCCGACATGCCAATATCCCATTATCCCATCCATGCCAGCCCTGTGGCAGTTGGAATCCATTCCCTCTGTGCCTTTGGAAAATCCCCTTCCCAAAGGAGCAGAGCCGGAGCTGCTTTTCCCATGGCAGCGTTCCCAGCACAAACAGCCAGCGCTGCAATCCCAGGGCTGCAATTCCACAGGGATCCGAGTTTATCCCGGCCTTGCCACCCCCATTCCCTCTGCAAACAGCAGGGAGGGAAGCACAGCTCAGATTTGGGGATTTTGGAGCCTTTTTTCCACCAGAACAATTCCACGATTCCAGGATTTGATCCACGGTTTTGTTGGCTCTCCCTCTCTCAGTCTGGCACCTCCCAAAATTCCAAATCCCGGCGGAACAGGAGCTGGAACCACATGAAAGGAGCCGGCAGCTCCCAGGATTCCAGAGCTGGAATTATCCCGGGAGGAGGGAGCCACGACAGCTCCGGGATTGTCCCCGAGATTTCCCATCCCGGCCTTGGGGACCTGGATTCATCATTCCACGGGAAACCAAATTTCCTGGGAAGGGACAATCCCGTTTTCCCGACGGTCAGGGCTGGGAGTGACAGGGCTGGAGCCGCGGATTGGGTTGGAAATCAGAAATTCCCAAAGGGTTAAATCGTCCTGGAGATGCTGGAGGGAGTCCAGAGGAAACCACGAGGATTTGGAAAGCTGGGAATGTTCCCCTGGAGCATTCCAGGGAATGCTCAGAGTCCCTGCAGGGGCTCCAGGAGAGCTGGAATTGGGGACAAGGCCTGGAGGGACAGGACCCAGGGAATGGCTCCCACTGGGAAAGGGGAGATTGGGCTGGGATCTTGGGAAGGAATTCCTGCCTGGGCTGCAATTCCCAGATTTGCTGGGGCTGCCCCTGGATCCCTGGCAGTGCCCAAGGCCAGGCTGGGATTATGGGAAATGTTCCTGGATGGGATTTAAAGTCTTTTCCAACCCAAAGCATTCCAGAACTCTATGAAAACACCGAAGCCAGACGTGGATGTTTCCAGGATATCGCCGTAAATCCCTGGTTTTATCCGGAGCTGGGAAGCCCCAAACAGCGCATGGAGTGTGGGAAACTTTCCCCACGTCCCAGGATCCCGAAGGAACGAGAGCAGCTCCCAGTCAGGTGTCCCCACCTGTCCCTGCGGCACCTGAGCATGAAAAATCTCCCAAATATCCCACGGGAACGTGCTAAAAATATCCCAAATCCCGGCTGGAGGGGGAATTTGGGGACAGCGACCTCCCCACAAACCCTGCCTGTTCACAACCAGGGGGATCCAGAGGGAACTGGGGTGAGGGAGCAGCGCCTGTTCCTATGGAATGGGATGGGAATGGGATGGAGAAGCCGATCCCAGCCCGGGACTTCGGGCGCTATTTTTGGGATCCCGGGATGCAATTCCCGGCGGTACCGAGGCAGGAGCCGAAGCGGAGCCTGGCAGGGCCTCAGCGCCAACCGGGCCGGGCCGGCGCCTCCCGGAGCCCCTCAGGAGCCCGCGGGACAGCGGGGCCTGCTCGGCCGCAGAGCCCCCCGTGTCCCCGCCGGTACCTCGGGCCGGTGTCCCCGTGTCCCCCCGTGCCCGCCGGTGGCTCGGGCTGTGTCGCCCTTGCTCTCCCCGCGATGCCTCGGGCGGTGTCCCCGGTGTCGCCCCCGTGTCCCCCCCCGGTACCTCGGCCCGGGCCGGTGCCGCTCCGCGCCCTCAGCCGCCGCCGCCGCCGCCAGGCCCCGCCCCTCCCGCCGCCGACACGCCCACGCCTCCCATTGGCCAACGCCGACATGTAGCCCCGCCCCTCCGCGCTCCGATTGGACAGCTCGGATACACAGAGAGTTACTATTGGGCCGATGAGCTGTCAATCATGCAGCAAATCACACCCACCGAGCGGCTCTCCGGATTGGCTGTCGCCGACCGCTCTAATTGGCTGAGCGCACGCGTCCCCCACGTGGGCCTGAAGGGCAGCTCGCGGGGGCGGGGCCTCGATGAAGTGGGCGTGGCCCCTAACGATGTAAATAACAGCGAGCGCCCCGCCCCCGCGGCTGGAAGATGATTGACAGGCATTTCGCCCAATGGGGAGAGGCCTCACAAACCGCCTGCCCCGTCGCGAGGGTGTGTTGGTAGAAGGGCGCTGATTGGTCGAATCATGTAAACACAGCCAGGGGGCGGGAGCGGTCACGTGGCTGGCGCGTGGCTTTGGGGGGGGGGGTCCGATCTGTGACCCCCCCGTGTTGGGGACACCGGGGGGGGGGGCGGGGGGGGACAGGGCTGTGCACCCCAAAATGGGGGAACAGAACGGGGGGAGCACATGGCGGGAGCCGGGTCCCGCTTCTGCACCTGTACCCCGAATTTTGGGGACACTCTTGGGGGGTTTTACCCAACCCTGCACCCCCATAATGGGGCCAGGAATGTGGGGGGGATCCAGCCCTGCACCCCGAATTTTTGGGGACACTCTTGGGGGGTTTTACCCAGCCCCACACCCCCATACTGGGGACAGGAACGGGGGGATCCAGCCCTGCACCCCCAGTTTTGGGGGCACTTTTGGGGTTTTTTTCCCAGCCTCGCACCCCAAAATTGAGGACAACTGGGTGGGGGGCTCAGCTCTGCACCCCTAATTTTGGGGACACTCTTGGGGGGATTTACGCAGCCCCACACCCCTATATTGAGGACAGGAACGGGGGAATCCAGCCCTGCACCCCTAATTTTGGGGACACCTTTGGGGGAGTTTTACCCAGCCCCGCACCCCCATATTGGTGGGGACCCTGCCCTGCACCCCAAATTTTGCTGCCACCTCCACTTGGGGACAACGGGGACAGCCCCGTGTCGGTGGCAGCGGGTGGGGGAGCCCGGGGGGGGGCCTCGGTTGTGCAGCCGCAGTTTTGGGGTCACCAGGGGACTTCCCCCAACCCCGCACCCCGATAATGCTGAGACCCCCCCCGGGGGGGAAAAGGGGGGGGTCCCGTGCCCGGGGCTGCTCCAGCGCCGCCTCCCCGCGGTGACGATCCCGGATCC